TCCCCTAAAGTTAATGGGTGTTGTCTGTAATTAACCAAAAAGGGTATCTAAAGGTTACATATTTTCCCAAGTTTATTTGGGCTCTTATGTAGCGTTAAATTCAAAGCGATCCAAGAGAAACCGGCCCAATTAGTGTCCTATATAAAATTCATAGAAAACCCTAGCTTCGCCTCCGCCGTCAACAAACGCACTCCCGTCTCTCGCAGCTAGGGTTTTCTTCTTCTCTCTTCTGGAAATCATGGTAAGATCCATCAAAAACCCTAAAAATTCCCACAAATCCTCAAGCTCTTCTCTCAAAATCTCCTAACTCTCTCTTCTTCAATCTCCATTGGCGCAGGCTGAAGTCGAAACCGATGTCGCGAGCGGCCAGCCGAAGAGGAGAACATTCAGGAAGTTCGCCTTCAGAGGCGTCGATCTCGACCAGCTCCTCGACATGTCGACCGACGAGCTCGTCAAGCTCTTCACTGCCCGCGCTCGCAGAAGGTAAGTGAGATCTGATACGGGATTGGAAACCCTAACCCTAGGTTTTTGGATTTGTTTGTTTTGATTTTGATTTGATTTTGTTGATTTTGTTTTGGTAGGTTTCAGAGGGGATTGAAGAGGAAGCCTATGGCTTTGATCAAGAAGCTTAGGAAGGCTGTATGATCACTTCACTCTTTCTTAAGTATTTGGTTTTTATTTTGTTATTGATTGTATTGATATTAACATCAAATTTTGAAGTGGAGCTAAAGATTCAAATTTTAAGAATGACATTGTTGATGAAAATGCTTGATATTAATTTAATTTAATCATATAAATGTACTGTTTAGTTTCTTAAAGTAATAAGGTACGCAGTATTTTTTGTTACTTAGAATTGACCGAGTAAAAGAAATTTGATTGAGGGTGGAAAGAACGAATTTTTATTAGCTGAATTTTCCTGGTGATTTTAGAAATTACCTAATAAGCTTAATAGTTAAATTTTAGATCTATAAGAGAAGTATCAGAATGCTAGTGCTATAATTTTGTAAATGTGTAACTGTGCGGTTGTCTCATATAACATTTCTGGTTTAAATACTGGTGCAAAAATCTCATAACTTTAAAAGGAGATTTCTGGTTTGTACTTGTTTGTCTTTCATCAATACTTCTAGATGGAAAAGCTGAAATAAGTAGTAAGTGTTTATTACTACTTATTGGTCTTTTTAGGCATCATGACCCTGATAAGAAATGCCTAAGGTTCTATCTTGCTCGTTGGTAACCACTGTTTTAAAAAACCTCCGCCTAGTCCGCTTAGGCGTACGCCTAGACCTAGGCAGTACCTAGGCCGCCTAACTAGCGCCTAGCGTCTAGGCGGTATTTAGGCTACCCACCTAGATTTCACGAACGTTTAGGGGAGTATTGTCTGCTTACGTAGATTGCACCCTGTAGGCCTTGATTGTGATTTTATGTGTCGTCGTTTAGGGGAGTATTGTCTGCTTACGTAGATTGCACCCTGTAGGCCTTGATTGTGATTTTATGTGTCGTAGCCTACACGTCCTCCAAACTCCATTAACCTTCAAATATGAACATCTCCACTACCTCCTCCGACCTTCAGCAAAACCTCATCGACCACCACTTAAATGAAGAAAGAAAAAAAACGCCCAGAAACCGCTTAGGCGCCCGCCTAGGCGACTAAGCGCTGGGCGCCAAGTCCGACGCCTAGAAGCGCCCAGCGTTTAATGTAACATTGTTGGTAACTGACTTAATAAAAAAGAAATGTTACTTAATTGAATCCGAAGGTTGACAACTCATATGATTGTACTAACAACAATGTAAATAAATTACTGGTTTAATCTAGTGATATGAAATTCTGAATTGCTATAATGCTATTCAATTTGCAAGTTTAACATGCACAGCTTTAAAGTACCTTACTACTTTCTCCAAAGGGGGGTCATTGTCGGAATGGAAGTGTAGAACTGTGAAATCATGTCTTAAAATACCTTTGTCTACATTTAGGTTTTTCTTTTAAGTAATTTACATAAAGTGGGCCTTTAAAGGGGAGTGTAAGAGGAAGTTACTTACCTCATGTTAGAAAGAGGATGTTTCACTTTCAAAGAATGCCTTCTTCATCAGAAGTTCAGGAACTACGGAAGATAATAAATGGGGCCAAAAGGTATGAAAGATTTGAAGGTTATGTATAGAGGTTGGTAGACATGGAGAGTTGCTATAACTAGATGATAATATTAATGCCATTTTTCCTCTTTGTACGGTTTCCTACATTAAAAAAAAGTTTTTGCAGCCTCCTATTATTGATAATTGGTGTCACTTGCCTATGTCTGTCTAGTCAAATATCCCATTAATTATCAAGCAAGTCTCATCTGTCACTTGTGGCGATAATGCTATACTATTACTATGTGCATGTTAAAATAATTTGGGATTTCATTTGTTTCATTTATCTCTAGGATATCTCTAGAAATACGTGGAAGCTTTTATCCTCTTCTCTTTTCTTCTTAATTAAGCAATAAGTGGAGAATGGATATCATACTTGTAAATTGGTGATTGCATATTATGGTGATTGTGGGGAGGTGCAACAATTTTGGAGAGGATAATTTAGTAAAAGAGAATATATATATATATAAAATAAGTGGAGAATACAAAAGAAATGGTAGGAGCGCAATAGGAGGGAGAAGAAATTAAAGAATAATTTGTACAAAAGGAGGTTGAAATGGAAAGGAAAAAAATAACAGCCTTAATAGATCAATTTTAGAGAATAAAATAGTGCAAGAAAATAGATGCCAAGAAATAAATGGAGAATACGTAGGCGATGAGTATAGTAGGAGGGGAAAAACAAAATCATAATTTGTACAGAAGGATTTAGAAATGATAAGAAAACACAACGGCTTGAAAAGAGGGAGAGTGTAAGGAAAAGATTAATCATTCCGTGTTACTTGGTAGTGTGTCCTTCCCAAGTTGCTCTTCAACTTTAATATAAAGGTTTGCTACAATTGCATCTACTTTTGCTCTTTCACATGGGTAATTTTTTAATATTTATATTGCCTCTGAAAATATGAATAAGATAAACACTTTTAAGGCAATTTAGCTCGCTAGGGAACTGCCTTGCGTCTTATATTTATTTTTGTGAAAACAGATCTTGGATTGACTTTAAAATAATGAAAGTTACAATATCTTAGTCAAAGAAATGGTCTTGATTCTGGCTTATTATTGGGTTATAGAGTGAGCTTACTTGGCAGCTTTAGCTTGAATTTTGTTTTTCTTAGTTTGGGTTAAGGTGGTTTCACCGTTTCTTTGGATTGAGCCATTATTACTTTGCAACGTTATAGAGTAAGCTTACTTTGCAACTCTACCAAGTTTGGAAACTCTTTTATCTTATATAATCATGAGCTAACAAGAGATGGAGGTGGCACAACTATGTAGTTGCGACAGAGCAGGTGGGCCCCATTGCATTATCCCTTTATCTTGCATTACCATGTTGCTTATTGAAAATCAGAAGTAGCTAAAAGCTTTAAACTAGATCTCAATTTGCATTGCTGTACTTCTGAAAACCCACTTTTAAATGCTTTGACATTAGCTTACCAGAACTTAAATTCTTTTTTCGGGTATTTTTTCATGATTCAGAAAAAGGAAGCACCCCCGGGCGAGAAGCCTGAACCAGTGAGGACTCACCTTAGAAATATGATCATCGTTCCTGAGATGATTGGTAGCATCATTGGAGTCTACAACGGCAAGACCTTTAACCAGGTTGAGATCAAGCCTGAGATGATTGGCCATTACTTGGCCGAGTTCTCGATCTCGTACAAGCCTGTGAAGCACGGTAGGCCTGGTATTGGTGCTACTCACTCTTCCAGGTTCATTCCCCTCAAGTGAGAGGAGCTTATTGGAAGTCTAAACCTCAGTTTTGGATCTGGATCTTATGCTTTTGAATTCTGTTCTGCTACTTAAGAGTCTTAGACTGGTATTTTGACATTATGAACTGCTTTTGTTTGGTAGTGTTTAGTGTTTATCTATCGGCATTGTCTTATAATACATTTCTTGGTATTTATGAACTTAAAGTTTCTGTTTAGATTATCTGGTACAAAGGTAATTTGCTTTCATCCGTTATTTTTTCCCCTTGGCTCTTTAGATAAGAATAGTTGTTATCTGAATTAGCCCGGTTTGGTTCTAATGATTTAACAAGTTGTTATTTGCTGAAATCCGAATTGGTTGAGTTCTGATCTATGTAGTTGTGTTAATGGTGTTTTTCTGCTCCTAGGCAGTGTAAGGTAGGCGGCTAAAATTGCTTGTACATTTTACTCTGGTAGCGGTGAAGTTGTATTTTAACATGCTGATGAGCGCGCATCTGATAAATTTTGTTTTAAACAAGTCCGTGTCCAATCATTTTCAATTTTATTCATTTTGTTCGTATGATTTCTTTAACTGTTTGGTTGTTTAAAAAAACTATCAGGGTGCGTTATAGAAAATCATTCCCTATACTTTCCTCTTCCAAGTTTGGTTCCCACTTGGCAACCAAGGCAGGTGAGGGAGGAAGGCGTGACGCTTTCCCATTAGTTGATTTGATTCTAAATTTCAGGAAATTCATTTCAGAGCTATTTTTTTAAGGAAACGGTTTGGAAATTGGTGGTGCATTGGGTTTGGATGTGGCTTTGATATGTACTTATTATATCCACATTCGCTTAACTATCTCGGATATGGTTACGGATATAGATATATCTCGTTAAAGAGAATTTCTATATACATCCGCTAAATTTGGATACAGATACAGATATATAAGTGGATATGCATGCAGATATAAAATGATATAAGAAAACTAAATAGTATGGAAAAAAATAGTTCACGTGATACAAAAGGGTTTATTAATATGTTTATTATATTTGAAAAGTTAAGATTAGACATCTTGATCATCAACTTCAAAAATCATATATGTAACCATATTATGTTGGTTACATATTTGAATAACCATATCCGTATCCTAACGGATATGATTACAGATATTTTCTCGGATATGGATACATGTTAGCACCTGCATTTGGAAACCATTTATCCAATTTTCTTCACCCATTTCCCTTTTCTTGGATTTGTGGGATGTTAAACCTTTTATCCTCGGTATGTGTTTCATGAGGATTATGCAGATATGTTCTTCATGTTAACTGTATGCATCTGGTTCACATTAATATTGAAAGTCTAGATAGATTTGTTTAAAGGGAAAAATGCTTCCAGCTCTCAAAACACAAGAAAACGTGTTCCCCCCAAGACTTTATCAACGGGTGCTTTGCCCCCAAAATCGCCCGCGATTTTCTTCCAGCTCCCAAAACGAATCCCTAAGCGTAACTCCGTTTAAACTCCTCACCAAATGCCTAAAATACCCTTCGCAGTCTGTGTTCGTCACCCTCTCACGTCGGAAACATGGCGTTTCGACTGTAGGCATTAAATGGTGATTATAATGCCTTTTTTAGGGGGGAAATTTCTATTTTCCTCCAAAATTATCAACAGATATATTCTCCTTCCAGCCGTAATAAAGTCGCTGAGTTCCTCCCCATTCTATTACCCCAACTAATTTGTTCCTTCCACTTAATTCTCCTCAATAAAAGCCTCTTCGATTCTTCAACTACTTCCTGTAATAAAATAGCGGATGGATCTCTTCTATGCGTGGTAACGAAAACAAAAAGCAACAAAGGTGGTGACGGTGTATTCGTCGTTATCAAAGAGAATACAGAAATAATCAGCTTGAAATATCAAGTGTCGTAAATGCTTGACATACCAATGCAATCTCTTTCACTAAAGTTCATATGCGAAAGGGAAAAGAAATTCAGTATTTCAATTGAAAATGACGATGACTTAAATTTGATGTTCGAGTATTGTCGGCGTAATGGATTTACAAACGCGAATTTGTATGCTACCTCCGCTGGGGAATCCTCAACTTCGCAGAACACGCAGACTACGCCGGAAACTGCGTAGGAATTACACTCCAGATTTCCTTTTGAGTTCACTGATAGGTTTTGCCATTAGCTGTTAACCTTATGCATTGATTGCTTAGGTAATGAGTTGGTTGTCAAGGTTATGTTAAGGACTGGTTGTTAAGGTTATTTGTTCGTTGTTACGTATACTAGTTGGTTGCTATGATAAGGTGTTTGATGTTAAGTATATGCGTTTGTTGTTAAGGTCACGAGTCTGTCCTTAAGTATAAGGGTTAGTTGTTAAGGATATGTGTTAACTGTTACGTTTATGAGTTCGTTGATAAGGTTATCAGTTCGTTGCTGAGGCTATGTATTTTTATTACTACTTCAGGACAATACCGACAAAAAATTCACAGTGCGCAGATACCACGTTCATCCAAACCTATAATGACGAGCGTATTCCTAATGACAACCCCACCGGCGACTCGATCATGTTGCTGGAAGACATGCTTAATCACCAAACAAAGATCCCAACTGAGTGGCACACCTCCATACGTGAAGTTGGTCAGAAATTTGATAGTGCTGCTGAAGTTAGATTAGTACTTCAATACTATTCAATTGCTAAACGGTTCGAATATGATTTTTACCACAATGAACAAAGGCGCATAAGAGTCTATTGCCGATTCAAGCACACACATGGTTGCCCTTGGATGTTATTTGCTTCCCCGCTTAGAAATTCGTCTATCATGTCCATAAAGAATTTTGAATCTACCCACACATGCGGTCAACATGGAGCAAATGCTAGCAACTCAAGGGCATCAAGAAAGTTCATTGCTAGCCAAATACAAGCTGTTTTAAAGGTTAGGCCATATCTTCGTGCAGTTGATATCAAGAACGATATGCTCTCTAATTTTGACATCAAGATTAACTACAGTAAAGCGTGATGGGGCAAAGAGACAGCTCAACAGGACCTGTTCGGTGACGATGATGAGGCTTACAATTCACTAAGATGATCTTTATCTTTTTTATTCTTCCAAAATCACTCTTACGTTTTGGTTGCTAACTATACGTAGTAGTTGTTAAAGTTGTTGGTTTGAAGTTAAGTATACGGGTTGGTTGTGAAGTTTGAAGATCAGTTGTTATGGTTATGAATCCGTTGCTAAATCTACTACTTACGTTTTGGGTACTAACTATACGTATTAGTTGTTAAAGTTGTTCGTTCGTCGTTAAGTATACGTGTTGGTTGTGAAGTTTGAAGATCAGTTGTTATGGTTATGAATCCGTTGCTATATCTACTGCTTACGTTTTGGTTGCTAACTATACGTATTAGTTGTTAAAGTTGTTGGTTCGTCGTTAAGTACACGTGTTGGTCGTGAAGTTTGAAGATCAGTTGTTATGGTTATGAATCCGTTAATGTACTGCTTTGTTGTTATATTCATACATGTATGAATCCATTGTGTATGCAACTAATCCAGGGAGTCGTGTTGTTATTGATGCTGATGACGGGAGGTTCAGACGATTATTCATTAGTTATAATGCATGTATTGAAGGGTTCATTGCTGGGTATAGGCCTCTATTATTTTTGGATGGAACATTTATTAAAGATCGTTACAGATGCATACTACTTAGTGTCATTGGGTATGATGGCAACCAGTGAATATTTCCCCTTGCTTATTGCGTATGCGACCAAGAGAATGAGGTTCATTGGAAATGGTTCTTACAAGGATTATGGACGTTACTGTATGATAGAGAAAATCCTTACCAACCTTCACATCAACTGGTAATGATTTCCGACGCCGACAAGGGTATTAGGGCAGCAGTCGAGGAATTCTTTCCAGATGCATTTCATTCAAGGTGTGTTCTGCATCTAGTCGAGAATTTCAAAAAGAAGATGAGAATTCTTTCCAGATGCATTTCATTCAAGGTGTGTTCTGCATCTAGTCGAGAATTTCAAAAAGAAGATGAAGGATTTTGGGCACAAGGCATCAAGGTGTGTTCTGCATCTAGTCGAGAATTTCAAAAAGAAGATGAAGGATTTTGGGCACAAGGCAAATGGCGCGACTACGTTGGGCGAGTTGTTACAATCTACGGTTTATAAGTTTACAATTTTTGAATGGGATGATGACATGAAAGGATTGGTAGCGATCGATCATAGAGCTTACATCACTGTAATGAAATACTCCCCGGAGAGATGGGCAAACGCGCATTTTCCTGGTATAAGGTAAGATAGCTTGGTTTCAAAGTTATTTTGTTACAACACCGTTATAGTTGTTTAGGTTAAAGTTAGCCTACAGTTTTTTTGTTAAGGTTAGATTTTTATTGTTATGGTTAGAATTATTCTGCTAGGGTTTTGTTGTTAAGTTTAGAATATTTATTGTTAAGGTTAGGCCTTTAATGTTTAGGTTATGGTTTTATTGTTAATGTTAGTGTTTTGTTGTTAAGGTATGGTCATGCTACTTCAAAGGTTGCTGAGTCCTTCAACATCTGGATAAGAAATGCACGATTGTTGCGAATCTTACCTTTGGTTGAGACCATACGAAAGCAAATAATGGAGCGCATGCATGAAAGGAGGCTAGTGGGTCAGAAATGGTCTGGATACTTATGCCCGGAAGCGGAGATGGTGCTGTGTGATAATATTCAGCATGGTAGCTGCTTGGCGATTAAACATTCGACGGAAGATATTGTGGAGGTCGAGTCCAATAAAACTTGCCGTGTAGATTTGAAGAATCGGACTTGTTCTTGCAGGTCCTGGGACATCACCCGCATTTGAAGAATCGGACTTGTTCTTGCAGGTCCTGGGACATCACCCGCATTCCTTGCAAACATGCGTGCGCTACAATTACATGGATGAGACGAGAAAGTTATCAATATTATGATTGGTACATGACTCTTGACGCATTCAGAGCACGTTATGCACCGATCATCTTTCCCATCCCAGATTACGAGAAACGCTTTGTACCGACAGAAGAGCGAGTGTTAAAGCCTCCTCTCACCAAAAAAAGACGTGGCAGACCATGCACTAGACGAATAAACAACAGGTCGCTCAACACCCGTCTTGTTAAGTTCTCTCGATGTAACGTGGAGGGTCACACTCATGCAACCTGTAACGAGCCTATATAGTTTAGCATTTTATTGTCATGTATATGGATTTGTTGTCCTGTATATCGTTACAAGTGATAAGGTCATTGCTTGGCTGTTAA